CTCAGCGCCCCCCCGCCCTCCCCACCGGGAGGGCTTTTACGTTTTATTCTTAAAAATAAATTTCAGAGGGACGCCTGAAGTCGTACCCACCGCTGTTATTGCTGGGAGAGGGTGCGGAGCAGCGAGGCCCAGCGTTGCCCAAGTGATGGCAGCAGGAGGAGGCAGGGAGCCCATTCAAGGCCACGTCAGTCACAGCAATGTCCAAAGAACAAAGTTAAAAGTTTTATCGAGCACAGTTTATCAGCTGGGACATCACAGACAGTACCTCGCCTCGAACAGGATGTGAAACAAACCAGTGTGTTTTACACGTCCTTTTGCCATTGCTGACTTAGACATAGGATAGTAGAAAATACAATTTCTAGACCAAACTTGAGCCTAGAGTATATCCCAAACTAACCTCAGGTAATTATAATAAAATGCACACCCTTTGTGAATAATGAGCAGGCTAATCAGCAAACCTCCCCAAGTGTGTTAAACACAATCTTAGATGCATACATATAGTTAGGAGTGCAGAATGAATCATTAACCCATCAGCTGTGTTTTATCATTAGAACCATTGGGCAGTTTGAAACATGAGGTGCTGCTGGCTGTTCTTAAATGCCACCACCTGATTCTGCAGAACTGAAATGAAAACAAATCTCTCAAGCCAGTGTGTTGATTGGCTTTCACACACCAGGTGAAGAGCTCTCATTTGGGGACAACACCAGCAGCTAAAAAGCAGGCTGCTTTTCACCAGAAAACCCTGCTCATTTGAGCTGGCTTCATTCTGCAGGGGGAGGAGCAGCAGTAGTGCAGCCCAAAAGAAATTAAAACCATTTATAGATGTTATTCAAACAGCACTTACATATAACAATACTTACAGGTTGTTCAGAGGAAAACCGGGAAGAAGGCTTTGTTGCAATCTGCTAGCAACCCCTTGGAGAGAAAGGGCTGGGGCTCAGCACAGCTTTTTGCCTAAAGACTTAGGACATCAGCCCTCCAGAGCCAGATGCAGCTGACCAAGGAGCAGAGACAGGGCAGGGCACCATCGTCTCCCAGCCTTGCACATATCACATCTCAGCACACGCTCTCCAAGCCAGCCTCCATCTCTAGAGTCAGCAGCATTGCTCCTCCATGGTTCTCTGTGACCTCTGTAACCCACAAGCAGACCCTCAAGGTGACTCTTGCACATAGTAACCCACTTTACTGTCCTTTTTACATCCACCACAGACTTGTTACACCCAGTTGGGTTAGCAGGGGGCAAGAACCTCAAGAACCTTGAAATATTAACAGAGCAATAATAAGCAGAATCAACCATCCATTGCAGCATCCCTGGAAACATATATACCCTTTCTAGACAGCAAAACAACATCTGAGCTGCAAGCAGAGGCAGGAAGGTCAAAGCAGATTAATTACTACAGCAGACATAGGGTGCAAGCAGCTCTTGAGACTTTAAACATTGTGGGGATTTTCCTATATGCAGGTTAGAGAACAAGGCACTTGCCAGCCCATTTAGGAGCCAACAACCAACAACATAGCATGAGTTAGCAGAAATCCTTTTGCTTCAATGCCAGGTTTGCTGCTATTGACTTCTGCACTCTCACATATTTCTCCTTGATGAAACACAATCCAGCGCTAAGCCAGAATTAATTTAAGCACAGAAATTCAGTTTTAGGAGTACAAAGAATTCCAGAACTGATATAACTAAGGAGAACTTTGCTAGAAGCTAGATAATTGATTAAAAAAACAAACTTGGCATGTTCATCTTAAAGATGCAATAATGATGCATAGGTAAGCTACATTTTCTTGTACTTTGGATACATTAAAGAACTTACACCTTAAAGTAAGAAGTAAATATCTAAATCTATAAACAGAAAATCTTTCTCTCCCCCCCCCCAAACTATTTATTTATCTTCTGAGTTAAAGGGATACTGCTACAAAATAAAAGGAAGCTTAAGTATCAAAAAAATACTGTTCTACCTACAACTACAAATACCAGACTAAAACTTTCTCTTTAATTACACTTAATAAAAAAGAATGTGTTTTTAGAGCTGAAACTACCCTATTCACCTCTGATAAACAGCATAAGAAAAAGATACTTACTGGCTGCTTCATCAGAAAAAAGTTTGACCAAATGAGAAAGAGCTCAGGTGTGGATGGAAGATTTATATGTATGTCTGCAATACCTCTTCACCCTTTGATTGGCCTGTTTGAAAATCACTTGCCAATCAGTCAACACCTGTGGCTATTTAAAGGTGGGGTGAAAGGTAGGATGGTTTAATTAAAGTATATGAGCAGCTGGTGGGTAAGGAGCTGAGGGTATTGGGGGTTCTATAATGCCTGTTGTGGTCTCCCTTTGGTTGTCTGGTGTGTGTGGTAATGTCATTGCTAAAATAAATTTTACCTTTTGCTTAAGAGAGTTTAAGGTTAATGGGAACATAACAAAGATATGTTATAGACTGAAGTGTTTTCTCTCTAAGTTACTGTGGATAATAGGTTTTTTTAAAACACTGAGTTTAAGACCTGCTTCTTCTTAATCTTCTCTTGAATACTTAAATCACCTTTTTGTGTGCTCTTGGGTTCTTAAATGCTTGGATGATACCAGCAAGAGGACAACTGTAATTCAGTATGTGGCGGAACTGATACGTAAGTAAGACTCTTACCTCTTCAGTCATGCCCTGCTAGGCTTTTACCATAGCGTGTAGCATCTTGGGGTCACAGTCTGCTGGGCTCCTGAAAGCAAGGCTCTCCCAAAGTACAGGGGAGAACAGTTCATCACTGAACGTGTAACATTACAAGATTCCCAGCTAAGAGAAATAGCATACTTAAGAAAAATATCATACTTTTTTCCAAAATTAAACTTTTAATTCAGCTTATGAGCTTCAGTTGCCTCCTATGTTTTCCTAAATACTTCCAAGTTAAAGTGGAAGTATTTGAATTTCAAATAGATACTTCTATCAAAAGTCAAATAGATACTTTTATCTTATACTAAACAATCTCTTTTCTGCCCCTATGAGAAACTGAAGATGGGAACACAGCACTTTCTTCCTGGATTAGCCCCATTTTTGTGGAACTAATATTCTGAGAGGTGATCTTCTCTCTTTCTCTCCATGAGATCATAAAATGTATGTACAATTATAGCAGTGAAAACCCTGAACTGTCTCTAAACAAGCATTGTGCTGTTAGACAACTAATTAAGAACAAAGTCTTGTTTATGCCTCTGACTTTTTTTTTTTCCATAGTTAAAACAGCAAAATGCATATATTGCATAAGCATGCTAGGTGGTGGAGTTCAGGAGTGTTGCTGGAGGGTTTTTAGGGGGTGTCTTTCAATGCTATCCGATACAGAGGAAGGCAGCTGGGGGAAGTATGCTGAGCCCTGGTAGTTTTGGATCGAGGCTCACCATGCAGGATGGAAGATGCCTGTAAGTTTGGGAGACATCATTCATTTTTTACAGATAGGCACGTAATAGCCTTTTTTAAAATTATTTTATTTTATGTAAAAGTGCAGAGCAAATAGCGGTGAAGGAAAGATTTACAGGGATACTTTTAGCCAATAGATGTACAATGATGTACAGTTGTCTAACCTTTGCTTCAAAAAAAAAAAAAATCACAAAAATGGAAATAAAAAGGGAAAACCTGTATACTATTTAACATTGTGGCATTATTGCACCACAAATGAGACCATGAGGAAGCATTGATCCTGTTGGGACATCATAAATCATGGACCATGGCTGCAGGTATGTTCACCTACTGATGACCTCCAGAAAGCAAGTGTTTTCCAAAGAAGGGTTTGGGGGAATTAGGAATGCGGTCCTGGAGGCCGGTGAAAAGTCTGCTCTTGAGCTCCATGGTGTGAAAGTATTACCCATTACTGAGAGAAAGCCAGATCACAGACTGGAATAAACTTTGGTCCTACATGGTCTCAGGATGGAGACACATCCTTATTCTTCCCATGGAGCGGCATGCACAGAGCTCCGGGCCAGTGGCTGGCTGTGGTGCCAGGATATCAGCTGTATTTACCTGTGTTGAATAGGGGAATATATCAATTTTCAAGAATCATTAATGATACATATAGCTGTGCAGTGCCATTTAACTGTTTGAGAATTGTTTTCTTCTGTGACAGGCCTGAAAGCATTTCTTCCTGATAATATTTAGCTTTTCTTTTCAATTTATTTGCATTTATTGTAGACCAGAGGGGTATCTGGCCTTTTATAGTCTCTACACTACCGGGATCCATAGTTTCTTTTCCGCTTATCCTCACTAAAGCGTTGTTGCAGCTTTTTCCCCTGAGCTCTCTGATTTTTCTGCCTGCCTCAGAGCGCTTTCACAGCACACAGCCCATCCGGTCGTTCCCGATCTCCTCTTGTGCCGTTTCTGTCCCTTCAGAAAGTACAACTCCTTTCCTTCAAATCCCCGAACGATCCCTTTCTCTATGCCCTGTCTCTACTGAGTTCCGTGACACAGCACTTTTCATTTCCACAAACCCCTTCCAGCCTTTGAGGTGGAAGATGGAGGTGTTGCCTGGCCTTGGGACACCTCTGCTCTTTTCCTAATTTCCATGGTGTCATTTGTGCACAGATCGTGGCCAACTTGCTTTCTTTTTCTGCCCGAGTCTTACAGAGCTGGTGAGTTTTTACAGAGCTGGTGTACAATTTGTGAATGTTGTGTCGTCCTCCCAGCGAACATCACGTAACCCTTATATTAGCCCATTCCCACCCCAAAAGCTGTTTCCCCACTGCCCTTACAGGAGGGCTCCTCAGGGCTGCACGCTTTGGGTAGCTGGAAGCTTTTTCCTGACGTCTAGCCTAACTGAACACGCATCTCCCCAGCTCCCTGGTGCCTCTCTCAAGTTTCTGTGTCTCTCCTGCCTCCATGGCAACATTTTCAGGCTGTCACCGGAGCATCGCTTAGTTTTCATTTCGCTCAGCTAACCATGACAAGCCTTTTGAGCCTCTGGTTTTCTATTCCCCTGGTCATCCCTTTTCTGCCTTCTCTATGGTCGGAGGTCTCTCTCCTGAAGATGTACAACGAGCAGCCCCCGTGTCACTCCAGGCAGACCTTCCTAAGGATTTCTGTAGGGGAATAACTTTTATGGTACATAATTTGATGTTATTTACCTTCCTCGTGGCTAGTAACACTCCTGTGGCTGTCTAGGAGAACCAGCGTACAAACAAAGGATGAGTTT